AGGAGTTGAGGAGGTGAGGTGGTGAGGAGTTGAGGTGGTGAGGAGTTGAGGAGGTGAGGAGTTGAGGTGGTGAGGAGTTGAGGTGGTGAGGAGGTGAGGAGTTGAGGTGGTGAGGAGGTGAGGTGGTGAGGAGTTGAGGTGGTGAGGAGGTGAGGTGGTGAGGAGTTGAGGAGTTGAGGTGGTGAGGAGGTGAGGAGTTGAGGTGGTGAGGAGGTGAGGTGGTGAGGAGTTGAGGTGGTGAGGAGGTGAGGAGTTGAGGAGTTGAGGTGGTGAGGAGTTGTGGTGGTGAGGAGTTGAGGTGGTGAGGAGTTGAGGTGAGGAGTTGAGGTGGTGAGGAGTTGAGGTGAGGAGTTGAGGAGGTGAGGTGAGGAGGTGAGGAGTTGAGGAGTTGAGGTGGTGAGGAGTTGAGGTGGTGAGGTGGTGAGGAGTTGAGGTGGTGAGGAGTTGAGGTGGTGAGGAGTTGAGGAGGTGAGGAGGTGAGGTGGTGAGGAGGTGAGGAGTTGAGGTGGTGAGGAGGTGAGGAGGTGAGGAGGTGAGGTGGTGAGGAGTTGAGGTGGTGAGGAGGTGAGGAGGTGAGGAGGTGAGGTGGTGAGGAGTTGAGGTGGTGAGGAGGTGAGGAGGTGAGGTGGTGAGGAGTTGAGGTGGTGAGGAGTTGAGGTGGTGAGGAGGTGGTGAGGAGTTGAGGTGGTGAGGAGTTGAGGAGGTGAGGAGGTGAGGTGGTGAGGAGGTGAGGAGGTGAGGTGGTGAGGAGTTGAGGTGGTGAGGTGGTGAGGAGTTGAGGTGGTGAGGAGTTGAGGTGGTGAGGAGTTGAGGTGGTGAGGAGTTGAGGAGTTGAGGTGGTGAGGAGTTGAGGTGGTGAGGAGTTGAGGTGGTGAGGTGGTGAGGAGTTGAGGTGGTGAGGAGTTGAGGTGGTGAGGAGTTGAGGTGGTGAGGAGTTGAGGTGGTGAGGAGGTGAGGAGTTGAGGTGGTGAGGAGTTGAGGAGGTGAGGTGGTGAGGAGTTGAGGTGGTGAGGAGGTGAGGAGTTGAGGTGGTGAGGAGTTGAGGAGGTGAGGAGTTGAGGTGGTGAGGAGGTGAGGTGGTGAGGAGTTGAGGTGGTGAGGAGTTGAGGTGGTGAGGAGTTGAGGTGGTGAGGAGTTGAGGTGGTGAGGAGTTGAGGTGGTGAGGAGGTGAGGAGTTGAGGTGGTGAGGAGTTGAGGAGGTGAGGAGGTGAGGTGGTGAGGAGTTGAGGTGGTGTGGTGAGGAGTTGAGGTGGTGAGGAGTTGAGGTGGTGAGGAGGTGAGGAGTTGAGGTGGTGAGGAGTTGAGGTGGTGAGGAGTTGAGGTGGTGAGGAGTTGAGGTGGTGAGGAGTTGAGGTGGTGAGGAGTTGAGGTGGTGAGGAGTTGAGGTGGTGAGGAGGTGATCTTTGCTTCATCCGTCTCGGGCTGGGAGTGGGGGAGGGCGAATCGGCACGTGGACACAAGCCGGTGGCGAGCCTCGTCAGAGACGAGATTTTAATTCGCTGTTAAATTAACATCCGGCAGTAGCCGGACAAAATCACAAGTTTCACCCATCCCATCCCACCCCCCCCCACACTCTAAATTACGAACTTTCAGAGATAATACATGGCAGAGGCGTCTAGATCTGCAGAACGTGAAGAACCAGTGGCATGTACATTTACAGAACGTGAAGAACCAGTGGCATCTACATCTACAGAACGTGAAGAAGCAGTGGCATCTACATCTGACGAACGTCAAGAACCAGTGGCATCTACATCTACAGAACGTGAAGAACCAGTGGTATCTACATCTGCAGAACGTGAAGAACCAGTGGCATCTACATCTACAGAACGTGAAGAACCAGCGGCATCTGCATCTGCAGAACGTGAAGAACCAGTGGCGTCTACATCTGCAGAACGTGAAGAACCAGTGGTATCTACATCTGCAGGACGTGAAGAACCAGTGGCATCTACATCTACAGAACGTGAAGAACCAGTGGCATCTACATCTGCAGGACGTGAAGAACCAGTGGCATCTACATTTGCAGAACGTGAAGAACCAGTGGCATCTACATCTGCAGAACGTGAAGAACCAGTGGCACCTACATCTCCAGAACGTGAAGAACCAGTGGCATCTACATCTGCAGGACGTGAAGAACCAGTGGCATCTACATCTACAGAACTTGAAGAACCAGTGGCATCTACATCTGCAGAACGTGAAGAACCAGTGGCATCTACATCTGTAGAACGTGAAGAACCAGTGTCATCTACATCAACAGAACGTGAAGAACCAGTGGCATCTACATCTGCAGAACGTGAAGAACCAGTGGCGTCTACATCTGCAGAACGTGAAGAACCAGTGGCATCTACATCTGCAGAACGTGAAGAACCAGTGGCATCTACATCTGCAGAACGTGAAGAACCAGTGGCGTCTACATCTGCAGAACGTGAAGAACCAGTGGCGTCTACATCTGCAGAACGTGAAGAACCAGTGGCATCTACATCTGCAGAACGTGAAGAACCAGTGGCATCTACACAACGTGAAGAACCAGTGGCATCTACATCTGCAGGACATGAAGAACCAGTGGCATCTACATCTACAGAACGTGAAGAACCAGTGGCATCTACAGAACGTGAAGCACCAGTGGCATCTACAGAACGTGAAGAACCAGTGGCATCTACATCTGCAGAACGTGAAGAACCAGTGGCATCTACATCTGCAGAACGTGAAGAACCAGTGGCATCTACATCTGCAGAACGTGAAGAACCAGTGGCATCTACATCTACAGAACGTGAAGAACCAGTGGCATCTACATCTGTAGAACGTGAAGAACCAGTGGCATCTACATCTGTAGAACGTGAAGAACCAGTGGCATCTACATCTACAGAACGTGAAGAACCAGTGGCATCTACATCTACAGAACGTGAAGAACCAGTGGCATCTCCAGAACGTGAAGAACCAGTGGCATCTACAACTGCAGAACGTGAAGAACCAGTGGCATCTACATCTACAGGAGATTATACAACTTTTAAAGTCATCCTTCTTGTTCACCGGACACTCCGTACGACGCGTTTGGAACAGACACCTCTGCAAGTGAACTCGTTCGTCGGTACAGCAGTCCCTGCATTAATTGAAGTCCAGCGGTTAGCGACTTGACCATCGTGAACCCAGCGACCCCGTGACCCGGCCATTGTGAACCCCGTGACCCGGCCATCGTGAACCCCGTGAACCCCGTGAACCCGGCCATCGTGAACCTAGTGACCCCGTGACCCGGCCATCATGAACCCCGTGAACCCGGCCATCGTGAACCCCGTGACCCGGCCATCGTGAACCCCGTGACCCCGTGAACCCCGTGAACCCGGCCATCGTGAACCCCGTGACCCGGCCATCATGAACCCCGTGACCCCGTAAACCCCGTGAACCCGGCCATCGTGAACCCCGTGACCCCGGTCATCATGAACCCCGTGACCCCGTGAACCCCGTGAACCCGGCCATCGTGAACCCCGTGACCCGGCCATCGTGAACCCTGTGACCCCGTGAACCGGGCCATCGTGAACCCCGTGACCCGGCCATCGTGACCCCGTGACCCGGCCATCATGACCCCGTGAACCTGGCCATTGTGACCCCGTGACCCGGTCATCGTGACCCCGTGACCCGGCCATCGTGACCCTGTGACCCGGCCATAGTGACCCCGTGACCCGGCCATCGTGAACCCGTGAACCCCGTGACCCGGCCATCGTGACCCCATGACCCGGCCATCGTGAACCCGTGAACCCCGTGACCCGGCCATCGTGACCCCGTGAACCCCCTCACCCCACCCACACTAGGGGTAGGATGAGTGAGTGTAGTGTAGTCAGTGTAGTGAGTGTAGTGAGTGTGGTGAGTGTAGTGAGTGTGGTGAGTGTAGTGAGTGTCGTGAGTGAGTGTCGTGAGTGTAGTGAGTGACGTGAGTGTAGTGAGTGTCGTGAGTGTAGTGAGTGTCGTGAGTGTAGTGAGTGACGTGAGTGAGTTTCGTGAGTGTCGTGAGTGTAGTGAGTGTCGTGAGTGTCGTGAGTGTAGTGAGTGTCGTGAGTGTCGTGAGTGTAGTGTAGTGAGTGTAGTGTAGTGAGTGAGTGTAGCGAGTGTAGTGAGCGAGTGAGCGAGTGAGTGAAGTGAGTGAGTGTAGTGTAGCGAGCGAGTTAATGAGTGAGTGTAGTGAGTGAGTGTAGTGTAGCGAGCGAGTTAATGAGTGAGTGTAGTGTAGTGAGTGAGTTAATGAGTGAGTGTAGTGAGTGTAGTGAGTTAATGAGTGAGTGTAGTGAGTGTAGTGAGTGTCGTAAGTGAGTGTCGTGAGTGTCGTGAGTGTAGTGTAGTGAGTGTAGTGGTGAGCGAGTGAGTTAATGAGTGTAGTGAGTGAGTGTAGTGAGTGAGTGTAGTGAGTGAGTGTAGTGTAGTGAGTGTAGTGAGTGAGTGTAGTGAGTGTAGTGAGTGAGTGTAGTGAGTGAGTGTCGTGAGTGAGTGTAGTGTAGTGAGTGTAGTGAGTGTCGTGAGTGAGTGTAGTGTAGTGAGTGTAGTGAGTGTAGTGAGTGTGAGTGTAGTGAGTGTAGTGAGTAAGTGTAGTGAGTGTCGTGAGTGAGTGTCGTGAGTGTAGTGTAGTGAGTGTAGTGTAGTGAGTGTAGTGTAGTGAGTGTAGTGAGTGTAGTGAGTGTAGTGTAGTGAGTGTAGTGAGTGAGTGTAGTGAGTGTAGTGAGTGTAGTGAGTGAGTATAGTGAGTGTAGTGAGTGTAGTGAGTGAGTGTAGTGAGTGAGTGTCGTGAGTGAGTGTAGTGTAGTGAGTGTCGTGAGTGTAGTGAGTGTCGTGAGTGAGTGTAGTGTAGTGAGTGTAGTGAGTGTAGTGTAGTGAGTGTAGTGAGTGAGTGTAGTGTAGCGAGCGAGTTAATGAGTGAGTGTAGTGTAGCGAGTGTAGTGAAGTTAATGAGTGCAGTGCCGTGCCGTGCGATGAGGGGTCTTCTCCCCGTGGGTCTTCTCCCCGTGGGTCTTCTCCCCGTGGTGTGTAGTGAGTGTAGTGAGTGAGTGAGCGAGTGAGTTAATGAGTGAGTGTAGTGAGTGTCGTGAGTGAGTGTAGTGAGTGTAGTGTAGCGAGCGAGTCAAGTTAATGAGTGCCGTGCAGGGCGATGAGGGGTCTTCTCCCCGTGGGTCTTCTCCCCGTGGTGTGTAGTGAGTGTAGTGAGTGAGTGAGCGAGTGAGTTAATGAGTGAGTGTAGTGAGTGTCGTGAGTGAGTGTAGTGAGTGTAGTGTAGCGAGCGAGTCAAGTTAATGAGTGCCGTGCAGGGCGATGAGGGGTCTTCTCCCCGTTGGTCTTCTCCCCGTGGTGTGTAGTGAGTGAGTGTAGTGAGTGAGTGTCGTGAGTGAGTGTAGTGAGTGTAGTGTAGTGAGTGAGCGAGTTAATGAGTGCCGTGCAGGGCGATGAGGGGTCTTCTCCCCGTGGGTCTTCTCCCCGCGAGGCTCCTCTCGCCCGAGGGGACCTCTCGCCCGAGGGGACCTCTCGCCCGAGGGGACCTCTCGCCCGAGGGGACCTCTCGCCCGAGGCTCCCTCTCGCCCGAGGGGACCTCTCGCCCGAGGGGACCTCTCGCCCGAGGGGACCTCTCGCCCGAGGGGACCTCTCGCCCGAGGGGACCTCTCGCCCGAGGGGACCTCTCGCCCGAGGGGACCTCTCGCCCGAGGGGACCTCTCGCCCGAGGGGACCTCTCGCCCGAGGGGACCTCTCGCCCGAGGGGACCTCTCGCCCGAGGGGACCTCTCGCCCGAGGGGACCTCTCGCCCGAGGGGACCTCTCGCCCGAGGGGACCTCTCGCCCGAGGGGACCTCTCGCCCGAGGGGACCTCTCGCCCGAGGGGACCTCTCGCCCGAGGGGACCTCTCGCCCGAGGGGACCTCTCGCCGGCGGTGCGGCCCAGCGGCTACCTCCAGGCCGCGTTGAGGCCCTTGACCTGGGCCAGGCGACGCGTGAGGGCGCTCGCGAGGACCAGGCCCACGAGCACCGAGCCAATGAGCACGAAGTCGAAGTCGTCCTTGAGGACGTCGAACATGCGGGAGGGGTGGACGCGCGTCTGGAAGACGTCCAAGCCGTAGGCCACCACCTGGGCGGGGAGGTCACGGAGGTGGATAGCCACGGGGTGGGTGGGGGGGTGGTGGTGGGGGGGGGGTGAGTGAGTGGGTGGGGGGGTGGGTGGGTGAGTGGGTGAGTGGGTGGGGGGGTGGGTGGGTGAGTGGGTGGGGAGGTGGAGGGGTGGGGGGGGTGAGTGGGTTGGTGGGGGGGTGGGTGGGTGGGTGAGTCAATGGGTGAGTGAGTGGGTGGGGGGGTGGGTGGGTGGGTGGGGGGGTGGGTGGGTGAGTGGGTGGGTGGGGGGGTGGGTGAGTGAGTGGGTGGGGGGGTGGGTGGGTGAGTGGGTGGGTGGGGGGGGTGGGTGGGTGAGCGTGTGGGTGAGCGGCTGGGTGG